GCTTGTAGAACTGCTGCGAGGTGTTATGGTGCAGAGGAAGTGCAGAAAAGTGTGCGTAAAGCGATCTTTGAAGCGGTTGGACCAGTTTGGCGGCTTTGAGCGTGTAAAGAAGGGGGAGGGGGGAATGGGACGGGGTGTTTGGGGGAGGTTGGAAGGCTGCCTGTGTTGGTTTCAAGGCGTGTCGCCGTGGTGACACAAATAGTTTCACTCTCATAATGTCACATTCTCAGGGGGGGGGGTCATTCACTCACACACGCACGTAGGAGGATCTAACACACACGTTGGAAAAAGGGCACGCGGGTTTTGTTGTTTTCTTGGAGGTCGCGAGAGCTGACGTGACGGGTCTGCGCATGCTTGTCATTCTAGCGCGGCAAGCCCTCTTTTTTTTTTTTTTTTTTTTAAACCCCGCTGGGGAAAATAATACCTAACACAAAAGTCAATGATCTTTTCCCAGTCATTTAAAAATATTTTGAGTTAACAAAAAAAAAAAAAAGAAAAAGTATTTTACAAAGTAGCGACCTTGTAAGTCTGTTGTTGTTGTGGTAACGCTAGCGCTTGTCGACAGGTGAACGACGTGTCGATGCCACCCAATGAATTTCACATGGCCGAGGTACCGGAGAAGCTACGCAGCTCGCGGAGTCACCTAGACAACGACGACGACCACAGCACCAACTACAGCAAACCTGTCTACGGCTACACGCCACCGTCAGTCCGCATTTCGCGAACCGTACACGCTCACGTTCACCCACACGCGCGACTTCATATCGCTCGCAATGATGTTGATTGGAATGATGATGTCATAGGGTGAAACGCGTCCAATGCTGAGTCATTCGTACTCGACAAAACAAAGTTACGTGTGATTGTTTCACAAATGTGTTACGGTGTGCGCACATGACAATGTAATTTGTGTGTGTGTTAATTTATCATCATCACCATTGTCATTATTCTAATTACGTGTGCAATTTTGTGCGTGTGCCAGTCCGGTGGAGGACGAGCAGCCGGTTCGCAACGGCATTCCTTACGGCGTCAACTCGGACGTTCCCAGCAGAGCCAACAGGAGGCGCGGGGACCCCGACGCCGATTACGCCTCTTCGGGAGACGAGCTGGATGACGACGATGCCGACTTCTACAGGTGGATGCGCGCCCACGCGGCATTGCGCGCGTAGCCGGATTGCGCGCCGTTTTAATGGCTAATTGTCTTCCTCAGCGAGTTCCCGCCCATCCCCAACGAGCAGGAACGGAACGAGTACAAGCGAGAGTTCGATCGCAATCATCAGGAGTACAAAGACCTCCAGGCCGAGCTAGACGCCGTCAACAAAAAACTCAGCGACGTCAACCGAGAACTGGATGAGCTGCGGGAGGGGAGCCCACAGTACCTGGTCAGCATCGTACACCGTTCACCACGTTTCATCGCAAAGAACACGCCAAAAATCACGCCTCAGCGATAACTCAGCCATTTTTTTTTTCAAAATGGCCAATTTAGTGTCAGTTTCAGAGGTCTTTGAAAATTCAGCCCTCAAAGACGGTTTCACTGAGCAACATGAAATTCAGTAGACATGGTCTATCATGAGGAGAGCCACAAAAAAGCCTCAAGAAGCCATGCTTAAAAAGACTCAGGAAGCCAGTTTGACTTGGCAACATGAAATTTGGTCGTCATGTCCATCTTGAGAAGGCCCACAAAAAAAGCCTCACAAAAAAAAAAAAAAGCCATGCTTGAAAAGACATAGGAAGTCTACAATTTTTATTTAAATTTGCCCTTTATGTATCAATTTTGTCATTTTGGGGGCTTCTTTTGAAATATTTTGAAAATTCAGCCCCCAAAGCCAGTTTCACTTAGCAACCTGAAATTTAGTCAACATGTCTATCATGAGGAGAGCCACAAAAAAGCCTCAAGAAGCCATGCTTAAAAAGACTCAGGAAGCCAGTTTGACTTGGCAACATGAAATTTGGTTGTCATGTCTATCTTGAGAAAACCCACAAAAAAATAGGAAGTCTACAATTGTTGTTTAAATTTGCCCTTTACGTATCAATGTTGTCATTTTGGGGACTTCTTTTGAATATTTTGAAAATTCAGCCCCCAAAACCAGTTTCACTTAGCAACCTGAAATTTAGTCAACATGTCTATCATGAGGAGAGCCACAAAAAAGCCTCAAGAAACCATGCTCGAAAAGGCACAAGAAATTGACCGTTTTGTTTTTTTAAGCTGCCATTTTAGGCTCATTTCAAGGTGCCTTTCAAAGGACTACATGTTGCCCAAGAGATCCTTGAGGTCAAACTCCTGCACATAGAAATATAATGATGATAATAATAAAATGATGTGTTTTGCACCAGGATGCCCTGGACGAGTATAACCGAATCAAGGACATGAAAAAGGTGAGTCGGTGTTTTATCTGTTCGAGGAGTGGTTGTCAAACGATGCATAAAGTTAAATACAACTGAATTGCACAAAACAAATATCACGTATTGGATTCCCCCCAAAAAACGTAAGCGACTGCTATATTATGCCAAACTTGAAACATTTAATTCAGCGATTCCTTCAGGTACAACGACAAGGAGCACACCGTGACTCTTTGTGCGTTTGTTGCGTTGTGTTTGCAGTCATCAGATTATCGCGCCAAAAAGAGGCGCAGCAAATACCTGAAAGCCAAACTCAACCACATCAAAAAAATGGTCAGCGACTACGACCGCAGAGCCTGAGATGCGGCGGTGCGCTTTGGATGTCGTCGCCATCAGCCGACCGTGTGATGTCATCAGAACAAAATTTTGGGTGGTGAGTGCGAGCTGTCGACCGTGGTCGAAACCGACAGCCCAAGTCTTACTGCCTGCTATGAACTCTTTTTATCCCAAAAGCACAACAAGCTAAGTTTAAGTATTTGTAACTTTTTGCATGAAATTTTATTTGTATTTTCTCAACTCTGTTCATGTGTATGCTTATTTGTAATAATTTGCATGAATTTTACTCGGTCTTTTTCTTATCTCAACTCAGTTCATGTGTATCAAGTGGGCTGTTTTTTAGTACTTTTACTCTGGTCTCTGTGTTACTTTTTAATTTTTTTTTTTATGACAATAAAATGTCCACTAGATGTACTTTATTTACTGAAGTTTTTCCGCTAGGTAGCAGCATTTGGTAGTAGTTGGCTCCGAATAGGAATGTTAAGATTTTAATGATGAAATGTTGAGAAAATCTTACACTTGTCGTGATAAAATAAATACAGCAGCACATCGTGCAAACATCTGATCTCTTGTTCGAGAGTTATCTTGTAAAGTAGACCAAATTGTGATCGATGAAATATTTGACCCTAAACATTAAAATAAAGTGAGCCGGGAGTGTAAATGCTAAAGGTGATGTTATTGTTTTCAGAAAGTTTCCGTGTATTATTATCTATCTCATTCAGCTTTGGAAGGAAATCAGATTAATTTGAATATTTTCTCGACCAAGAAGTCTGAGTTGATTTAATATGATTTTTCATTGGATTGTCTCACTTATTTATTTTTTTTTCTTTTTGTTGTTGCTGATGATTAGACGCGAATGTTGCTCAGTGCTGATGATTGCGTTTTGGTGAGCAGAGGACGCCTTGTTGGCCTTCACCATCCACCACTGATCAAACCACTTCGTGTGTGTGTGTGTGTGTGTGTGTGTGTGTGTGTGTGTGTGTGTGTGTGTGTGTGTGTGTGTGTGTGTGTGTGTGTGGTGATCACTAAGCAGCCTAACAGATTAGCAGCAGTGTGTGTGTGTGTGCGTGTGTGCGCGCGCATCACATTGTGTCTCATTTTACAGCGAATTTGAGGTCAAAGCGGGTTCGTCCTTCAGCCGCCAATCAAGGCCAAGGCCAGAAGACACACACACACACACACACACACACACACACAGACAACATCTGTCTACATGCACAAACGCATACACGTGAGCATGGGTTTGTCCTTTCTGGCTGGATGAGTTTGAGACGGTCACATGAACATGTCCATCTCGTGTACCTAATGAAATGACCACAGAGGGGACTCGTCTGCTCTTCCTGGTGAAATCCTTCTTTCAATTCTTTTTTTTTTTTTGTTAACGACTGTCGACGCTGTCGTGTCTCGTTTAATCTTTAGACGTTTGAAATCGGAACTGAAAGCATACCTGCCAAAAATGTCAACCTCTTTACGAAAAAAAGTAAAAATTGTAGCATTCATTTTGTGCGCCAAGTAGCAACTCACATTAGCCGTTGCTTGTCAGGACTATCAAATATTTATATAAGAATAAAGTAGATTCTTAGTGACAGTCATGTATTGTGATACAGCAATGACTAATAATACACCCAATATATGACATTAAAAATTAGACTACTGTTCTCATTTTTGCTATAGTTTCTTTCGGGGAAAAACAGTTGCCGAAGGGGTTGGAAAAGTTGCGAAATATGACAGTGTTGCCAAGTTGGTAACATTTGAAAAGTGCATGAGACACTCTTGCTGGCGACATGTCCGTGTGCACATCAAACAAAAGTACAACTTTCAGAATAAAACCACCGCATTGTTTTGAGTTTATGTGAGGGCCGGTCAGAGACTGTGGGTGGGCCAAATATGGCCCCCGGGCCTTATTTTGCATAGTGATCAGGTTTGTAAATATGGGATTTCAATTGAGCATTTAGGGTTAAGGTTTCAAACAAGAGTTACGTTTTCATAGTAGGGCTTCATGGCTAGAGTTAGGGTCTGAAGGTACCGTATAAATTTTTAACCCAGTTTTGTTTTCAAACAAGGTTTAGAACTTCAAAGTTGGATTTTGAGCCGGGATCAAGGATTTACAGTTCAAATCAACGTTAGAGTTTCAACAAGGGAGTTTCAAAGTTGGAAAGCAGTGTTCCGATCCACGCCAGAGTTTTAAGCCGGTTTTTCATTGTCGGGTTTGGATCCCGCGGTCGTATTTTGAAACGGCTGCCCGTGCGCTGATGCTGCTGTCCCTTTAAGAGGACATCAAAGCCGATTAGCGCTCATCCCGCCCTCCCGCCCTCCTTGGTTGTATTCCCAAACGGAACCCTCTTCTCCCTCGCCGTGTATTCATTCCCACTCGGACCACCACCCGCCCCCAAAAAAGTCGGGTGCGTACCCGGCCGGCTCGTCGCCCGGATTCCCGCGACGGAGCCATGACGCGCGCCCTCGCTCTCGCCCTCGGTTGCGCGCCCTCGCCGCGACGACGTGCGAGCGCGAGCGAGTGAAGCTCGCCGCGCGCGCGCACGTCGACGCCCCCGCGTAGCGTCGCGTCCCATCCCGTGCAGGTGCGTCCAGATGCAGAAGAGCGTGCGCTACAACGAGGGCCACGCGCTGCACCTGGCCTTGGCCGCGCGCAAGGAGGGTGCGAAGCGCGGCCTGGTCGGCAAGCGCAGCTCGGAGAACGTCCGCTGGACGGACAAGTTCTTCGCGCTCTACCAGAATCTTCTCTTCTACTTCGACAACGAGCAGAGCGCGCGGCCGTCCGGCATGTACCTGCTGGAGGGATGCACGTGCGAGCGCGCCCCAGCCCCCAAAGTGGCCTCGGTCGGCGGCAGCAGGGACGCCCCCGAGAAGATGCAGGTATGAGACCCCGAAAAGAGGCTGCGTTACGGTTTTAAGACAAGGTTTGGCTTTCAAAATAGGGCTTCGAGACAGTCCTGAGTTTTCGCACGAGTGTTTCAAGACAATGGCAGGACTTCGAAGTAGTGCACTGAGTCAGGGGTAGGGTTCCAAAGTTCAGGGTGTAAGTTACTCTTACTGTGTCAAATAATGGTTGGGCTTTCAAAGTAGGGTTTGGAAGCAGGATTAGGGTTTCGAGGTGGGGTTTCAAGCAAGGATTAGGGTTCCAAAGTAGGGCTTGGAGTTCAAGTTAAGGTTTCAAGTCAGACTCAGGGTTCCGACGAAGTGTAGTGAGACAGGGCTAGGGTTCCAAAGTAGGGTTTCAAATTACAGTCAAGGTTTCAAACCAGGGTTAAGTTTTCAAAGGATTGTTTTAAGACAACATTAAGGTTTCAAAGCAGGCTTTTAAATCAAGGTTTGAGTTTCAAATGAGGGTTTTGAGCCAGGGATGGGGTTTTAAATAAGGGTTGGGCTTTTTAAGTAAGGTTTCTAGCTAGGATTATGATTTCAAACCAGTGTGGGTGCTTCATGACGATGGTAGGGTTTACAGTAAAGTTTCAATGCTAGTTTTAGGGCTTAATTCGGGTTTTCAAGTCAGTGTTGGACTTGTTGACTTGTGACATGCTTGAGTGTCATGTGAGTTAACTGTCTTGTGTGCCTGGCAGACATGGCAGGACGTGAGCTTAGTGGAGGGGGCGTGGCTCGTCGAAGTTGCCCGTGCGCGCGTGTATGTCATTGTTTTGGTTCGGGTTAAATTCATCTGGCTGCCAGGGAAGCCGCATTAGCTGCACAAGCTGCCTTGTTCGTTATGTAAGAACAACACACACATCCACACACACACACCTACGCGCACACACACACAAGCCTTTAAGCCTAATGCTGGTCGGACGCCGGCACACGCTAGCGAGTGTCAGTCACCCACTCATGTTATGTCATTACTACATATGCGCGCGCACGCGCACACACACCTACATGCAACATACCTGCCGTATCGTGTTAAATGCACAAAGTTGGGTGTAACACCGGAAGTTAGGTGAAGTACAAGAAGTCAAGTGTAACATTAGAAATCTGTGTGTGCGTGCGCGTGTGTGTGTGTGTGTGTGTGTGTGTGTGTGTGTGTGTGTGTGTGTGTGCGTGTGTGCGTGTGTGCGCGCGTGCAGTACTACTTCCTGGTGATGTTCGGCCATGATGGGCAAAAGCCTCTGGAGCTTCGCACTGAAGAGGAAGCCGACTGCAACGAATGGGTGGACTGCATACAACAGGCTAGGTGAACACACACATACACACACACACAGTCTCATGCATGTGGAGAGACACACGCTCATTCATTTAAACGACGGGAGTCGACACATTGTGCCATTTGTTTGTCTACATGTCCAGAGAAGGGATGCTTACTGTGCTGCACGTAAGATGAAGCTCGGATGTCATCGTGAAGTCTTAAACATTTCAAGTTCTATGACAACATGAAGTCCGATTTTGGACTGGATGGGATCAGGGCAAAGTAAAAGGTTGTGGAAGGAGATAAAAATAGAAGAGAGAGAGAGAGAGAGAGAGAGAGAGAGAGAGAGAGAGACAGAAGGCCAGAGTGTGATGTAAGTTCATAAAGTACCACCATGGCCTAAATGTGAAGTGCTGCAAGCGCAACACGCACGCACGATTGCACGCACGACACAAATATGTAACACTGTTGTGCTCATGTAGAATGTGACAGCATTAAAAAAAAAAAAAAAAAATCCCCATAGGAAATAATGTGCATGTTTGCCTGTGTGTACGCGTGTACAAATGACTGTGTGTGTGTGTGTGTGTGTGTGTGTGTGTGTGTGTGTGTGTGTGTGTGTGTGTGTGTGTGTGTGTGGTCAGCTACTCGGACCTGATCTTGGAGCGGGAGATCCTCATGCAGAAGTACATCCACCTGGTCCAGATCATGGAGACCGAGAAGATCGCAGCCAATCAGCTACGCACGCAACTGGAGGACCAGGACACCGAGATCGAGAGGCTAAAGGCTGAGGTATGCTGCGCTAAAGCTAAATGATAATGTTGGATTTTAGATTCCATATGCTAATTCGACATGATAATTCTTCATCCTATGCTAATGGTAAATGCTATCTGTAATTCTAATTCTAATATATGTTAACGTTTGAAGCTGAATGTGATATGCTGTATGTAAAGCTAAATAAAACTAATGCAAATGCTCCATGCTAAATGCTATGTTTGAATTTGTAAAAGGCTACTGCTGTTGTTAGTGCTCAAGCTAACGGCGGTTGTGCGCGTCTGGTGTCCAGATCGTGCTGCTCAACAGGACCAAAGACCGCATGCAGCCGAACCAGAACACCCTGGACGAGGAGGACCCCGACATCAAAAAGATCAAGAAGGTAAGTTGCGCTGGGGTCAAAAGGCACACGGGAAGGAGGAAGACTTGTTGAGTGGCTAGCTAAGTGTCATGTGACTTCCGTGTCACGTCACGCGACTTCTTAAGTGACTTGTCATCCGAGTTTTTGAGAGAATTAAGTGTCATCTGACTTGTTTCCTGACTTCTTAGGTGACTTGTTAAGTGTCGTTAAGAGACTTTCAAAATGTTTGAAGCGACTTGTTTGGTGTCCTGTGACTTAAGCGAGTGAAGTGACTTCCGAATTTAGTTTTAACTTGTTAAGAGATGATTTAAGAAGCACTTGTCGAGTGACTTGTTGGAGTGACTCGTTTAGTGGCACGCCCCCGCAGGTGCAGAGCTTCATGCGCGGTTGGCTATGCCGGAGGAAGTGGAAGCTGATTGTTCAGGACTACATCTGCTCGCCACACGCCGAAAGCATGCGCAAGCGCAACCACATCGTCTTCAACATGGTGGAGGCCGAGACGGAGTACGTCAACCAGCTGTCCGTCCTGGTCAACTGCTTCCTGCGTCCGCTGCGCATGGCCGCCAGCTCCAAGAAGCCGCCCGTCAGCCACCACGACGTCAGCAGCATCTTCCTCAACAGGTGCGACAAAAAGTGGTCTGGCAAAAAAGAAGAAACGCGAGCGTTACAGACCACCCTCAGTGAAATATGCGATATGATAATCCTCCCTCGGTATGTTTTTTTGATTGCATTCATGACACTTCCTTTTGGAAGATCTTGAAACACATTTTAAAAAGAATACAAAGACATTCTAGATCTAGAACATTGAATGTATTTAGAGGGATCCAGAAGAGCAAGGGATAAGAAAAAATGTTACAGTGTAACGCATTGGTGTCAAAAATACGGCCCGTGGGCCGGAACCGGCCTCAAGGAGGTTCGATCCGGCCCGCTGGATAATTTCAAAGTGGGGAAAAAATGCATTAAAGACACAGAATGAATATTTAAAATAAAAATGCAATTCGTGGATTATCCGCTAGGGGGCACACTGTTTTGATCACAGTAGAAGACAACATTGTTTTGATCGGGGAAGAAAACAGCAGTCTCAGTCTGTCACCGAGATAGACCCAATGCAGCAAATGATAGGAAAGCGCCAATCAATGCTTCTTGAGACCAAAACAAAGGAAAGAGATGAGATTTTGGTGATTCATAGCACAGTATGGTATCATGTTAATGGTTCGGCCCACTTGACATCTACCGAGTCCGTATGTGGCCCACGATGTGAAATGAGTTTGACGCCCCTGGTGTAACGGCATACCGATCCGTGTGTTTAAAGTTTACAAATCCTGTTTTGTTTTTGCGACATCATTTATCGTCTCACAAATGCATCAGTAATCATACGCAAAAGTGCACATCATATAATGAACCTACAGTCATCGCTCTCTGTAGGCATAAAACGCAGGACGGGAGAGGATTGAGACATTCAGAAATCTTTCTCTTCAACAAAAATGAGGCTGACACCTGTTTTTTTTTTCAACTGCATACCGTGTTGCCGCTAAATGGATGAAAGTGGATTTACATCCCCCAAAATGAATTACAAAATTAAGTTGTAATCAACAATAGTGAGTTATAACTAGACGAACAAAATTTTTTTCTGTGGGTCGGGGAGACTGTTTACGACTGTATACCTCAGCATATTTGGCTTAGTTTTGTTTATTCAGATTTTGTTTTTCGCAAATGATGGCCAGGGTGTTTTCGGGACAGCTAATGTAGTCCTTGTTTTGACCAGCGAGACCATCATGTTCCTGCACCAGATCTTCCATCAGGGCCTGAACGCTCGCATGGCCAACTGGCCTACGCTGGTCCTGGGTGAGTCCTCAGCGTTGCCTCGCGTGTTGTCGGCGCCGTCACGAAACCTGTTTGTGTTTGGCTTACAGCGGACCTGTTCGACATCCTCCTTCCGATGCTGAACATCTACCAGGAGTTTGTGCGCAACCACCAGTACAGCCTTAATGTTCTAGCCAACTGCAAGCAGAACCGAGACTTCGACAAGCTGCTCAAGCAATACGAGGCCAACGCCGCGTGCGAGGGACGCATGCTGGAGACCTTCCTCACCTACCCCATGTTTCAGGTAGCAAAATGTGCACGCTATGAGTCCATCCATCCCTTTTCTCACACGCTTAGCCAAGTGACGATTGTTCCTCTTGAAGCCTTGCATCGTTCCAAACACACTTGAACAGTCAAAGCATAGCGCATAGCAATACTCACACTTTTCGCACCTGGTAATTCAAAGTCAGTTACCTACTTCGAGTAGGTAGTAGTTATCGAGTTAGCAATCGAGTTAGCAATACTCGATAATTTAGGTTGTTAGGTGAATAGTTGTTTAAGTGTTATTTTGTTTTGTTTGTTAGTTAGACAGTTAGGTCATTTGTTTGCTTGTAAGGTACTGTAAAAAGAGAGGTAGGTCAATGTTTGGTTATTTAGCAATAGTTCTAGCTAGTCGTAGTGTTAGTTCTGTGTTTTTTTTAGAATTTTAATATTGTGAGTTATGATGCTACTTTTAGTTGGTTAGTGAAACAGATAATTATAAAACTGATTTTCCAATTGGTTACGTAGGTCGGTGGGCAGCTAAGTAGGTGGGTAAATGTAGTAGTTGTGGGCGAAAGCTAATAGCTAGTCGCTAGCTATCTAGTGAGTAGAAGTTGGTTAGTTAGTTAGCCTGTTGGGAAGAGTTTTTCTTTGCTAGTTTTTGTTGTTGTTGTTGTTATTGTCAGCTGTAGTTATTCAGCGGTTACTACTCCATTTAGGAAATGTTAGTTATTAAAAGTTGCTTAGTTATCCAGTTAGTAGTAGTCAATGTCAGTAGTTGTAGTTCTTATTTAGTTGCCTTGAAAGGCAGAATGGTTGCCAGATTCAGATGTGATGATCATCTCTCCCTAATGAAGTGACCAGCGTTCCGTGTGTGTTTTCAGATTCCTCGTTACATCATCACCCTCCACGAGTTGCTCGCGCACACGCCGCACGAACACGTGGAGAGAAATAGTTTACACTTCGCCAAGTCCAAACTGGAAGAGCTCTCAAAGTACAAACTTGACCTTGAACTTGATGTGCCGTTGCTCTTCTCCAAAGTGGCGACATGTGTGTTTTATTGTGTGCGCACACATATGCGATCAGGATGATGCACGACGAGGTGAGCGACACGGAGAACATCCGCAAGAACCTGGCCATCGAGAGGATGATCGTGGAGGGCTGCGACATCCTGCTGGACACCAGTCAGACTTTCGTTCGACAGGGTGGGGCGCGCGCTTCACGCCGACTTCATCTTCCCCCTCGAGATCGCCCGGTCAAGGCTCAAGCGAACGCCTGCTCTCCCTCCCGACAGGTTCACTCATCCAGCTACCGTCCAGTAGCGAGCGCGGGATGCTGAGTAAAGTGCGTCTGGGCTCGCTATCGCTGCGCAAGGAAGGCGAGCGCCAGTGCTTTCTGTTCACCAAACACTTCCTCATCTGCACCAGAACGTCCGGAGGGAAGCTGCACTTGCTGAAGGTCCACACAAATGCATTGCAAATGAACCATGCTATTTCATGAGGTCAACCACCATCTGCCGCATAGATAGGCTGCTGTTGAAATTTAAATCAGTTTGGTTTGGGTAGAAATAATTTAAAAAAAAAAAAGAAATTGTAAAGAGCGAGTGCAGTTATTCAGGCATAGCTCCAGTATATTTCCGCCAAGATAGGCTGCTTTTGAAATCAAGACATGTTTGGCTCGGGATCCTTTTGAACCAAAATTTAACAAATGAATGACTACTAAGTATGGTCCAATTAGTTTGCTGCCGAGGTGGGTGGCTGTTGAAAACAAGACAAGTTGGCTTTGGCGAGCGACCATTTTATAGAATTTTTTTGGAATGAATTGTGGATGGAGGTTACAGTCAATTCTGACCTCTCATTTGCTGCCTCGATAGGCTGCTGTTCAAACCAAGACACGTTTGGCTCTGGATAGTTTTTAGCTCAAATAAAACAAAGAAATGAATTTTAAAAAGCCTCTTCTAGTGTACTGCCTAGATGGGGTGCAGTTTTAAAAAATCAAGACAAGTTTAACACATTGCCCAAAAATAAACTGCTCCCTCGTCGGGCTGCTGTTGAAAGCAAGGCATAGGATGTAGGGCATAATTAGGCTTTTTTTTTTTTTTTTTTGTGCTTGTGCTCCAGCAAGGAGGCACGTTGTCGCTGATGGAATGCACGCTGATCGAGGAACTGGACGCCGGCGACGAGGACTGTGAGCGTGCCGTGACGTCCTTTCGAATCCAGTCGCTCCAAAAGCGTCAGACCTGACACGGTCGCTATTTTGCAGACAACGCGGCAGGTCAAGGCTTCAGCCATTTGGAGTTCAAAATGGTGGTGGAGCCTCCCGACGGGCAGACGTTTTCCGTGGTCCTGCTCGCTCCCTCGCGCCAGGAGAAGGCGGCCTGGACCAGCGACATCAGCCAGGTCGGCGAAAGCCACGGAAGAACAACTGTCCCCTAAATTTCGTCTCATGTCTCGTGTTCGTTTGCGTTCCAGTGCATCGATAACATCCGCTGCAACGGGTTGATGACCAGCGTCTTTGAGGAAAACTCCAAAGTTTCTGTGCCGCACATGATTAAGTAAGACGTCACCACGTGCACGCCGAATACTTGCGATAACATTTGAACAACAACACACGCATACTAAGAAACACACACGGCACAAAAGTGACGGCCCGGGCGTCCAACCCGCAGGTCGGACGCCCGCCTGCACAAGGACGACGTGGACATCTGCTTCAGCAAGACGCTCAACTCGTGCAAAGTGCCGCAGATCCGCTACGCCAGCGTGGAGCGGCTGCTGGAGCGCCTGACCGACCTGCGCTTCCTCTCCATCGACTTCCTCAACACCTTCCTGCACACCTACAGGATTTTCACCACGGCCGCCGTCGTCATCCGCAAGCTGGCGCACATCTACCGCCAGCCCTTCACCTCCATCCCCGTCAGGTAGAAACCGTCTTTAAGCTGCCACTCAAAGACACGGCTCGACTCAGACTTCGTTTAAACATACCCGTTGTCTAAACACATCAAAGACGCACGTGGAGATTTTTATATTCATTGGTAAACATCATTTACAACACAGGTGTCAAACTCGAGGCCCGGGGGGCCAGATCTGGCCCGCCACATCGTTTTACATGGCCCGTGAAAGCAATTCAACCAGGTCAACTTCCATGACACATGCTAAAATCTATACTGAATTTCAAATTGTCATATGCAACAAATCATCGTGTTGAGCTACTGCAAGCATTTTCTTGTTTTACATTTTGACAGAAACTTGAACAACGGGACTACTCTCCTCGACTTTTGATTTCAAAATTAATTATCTATGAATTGTGTACTGTTTATGTAATAATACGAGGAGGTGATACGGCTTCACAGTCATAATGGCCCTCCGAGGGAAACTGTGACTACAACGTGGGCCGCGACAAAAATTAAAGAAACGTCCATGGTAAATTTAGCACCTCAAATGGTGGGAAACTAATTCCATGATGACTTTCTGTTTTAATTCCCCATAAATATGTATTTGATGTGTTCAAAGGTTGGATACCTATGGGGGAAAAAAAAATCACCATAGAAGTGTCTTTGATGCAAAATCACATTGGAGCACATATTTGATGCGATGGATACAAACAAGAAACACACATGAGCACATCTTTGATATTAAGGACACATGGCCTTTGGTGTGTCAAATGCTATTAAAAAAAAAATCATCCTCATGAAACAGAAACTGAATCATGGCCCACATTTTCATCCTCTTCATCTTCATTATTTCCTGGTCATCCTCATCCTCGTCTCGTCACGGTCCTCATCATCATTTTGGCGGTCAGGATCGAGCAGCACTCGTGCGACCGTCTGTCCATCATGTCTCTGTGTCCCGACTACACTCTGAAGATCACCCAGCTGGCTCTGGATCAGTCCAAGTAAACTTTCATCAACGACCCCCCATAGTCTTGTCAGTCACGCCGTAGCCCCTCCCCCTTGTGGTGACAGCTGGTCTTGCGTCCACAGGTCTCTGGAGCTTTTCTTCGCCACCAACCAGGGCTCATGGGGCATGGAACCCCTGAACAACAAATCCCCGCGCCTGTGTCGCAAGTTCTCATCCCCGCCGCCTTTGTCCCTCCCGTCTCGCACTTCCTCGCCCGTCCACGCACGCAAATTGTCCCTCAGCTCGCCAGTGGGGCCCAAAGTCTTGGACCTCTCCTCCACGCCGTCGTCCTCGGCCGCCAGCTCCCCAACCTCGGCACACGGCCCGGGCCTGTTCACTTCGTCATCGCCTCCCCCCCACACCGCCGCACCCTGCAGGACGCTGTTTGGCTTCTCGTCGTCGCCGCCGCCCACCGTTACCAAGGCCCCGTTGGATCTCAGTCGAGGTCCCAGTTCGCCCGAGCTCAGCCCAGGTGGCGAGGACGTCGTCAGCGGCGATCTGCCTCGCATTGACGCCTTCTGCGGGAAACTGAGGAGAAGCATCCGCAGAGGTGAGCCAGTTAAAAGAAAATGACTGTGGATGCGTCTTGATGTCCTTGACATTTGAAACAGTCGCGCTCCATTCAAGCGTTGCCGCCACGGTTACGTCTGTGGCTCCTCCTTCTCTCTCCCCCGCCAGCCGTACTGGAGTCCGTGTCTCTGGACAAATTTATTCCGGAATTTCCCGCCGCCGCCGGCACCAACAGCAACGAGTCCGGCGACGTGTCCCCGTGTCGCTCGCCGTCCACGCCGCGACACTTGCGCTACCGCCCGGCAGGAGGTATCACGCCACGCAGCCGCGCTCTATTTTTTAACGAGATGACGTTGCGCAACGCCGTTCATTGTGATCTCTCGGCAGGGTCTTCATCCGAGAACGCTCGGTGTGCTGTGTCGCCTGCGTCTGCTTTCGCCATCGCCACCGCCGCCGCCGGTCACGGCAGCTCCCAGGGTGAGCGCATGGAACCAAAAATATGCATGTGAGGCGTAGGTCTTATTTCTGTCCACTTGGGGTCACCGTCGCTACATTCTACACTGTTGTCTCTGTGACTTTGAATGTTTGTGGCTTTAAAAGGCGGGGCCTGACCTGGTGAGTGATATGGGAGTCTATATGAGTTGCTGAAAGTGGCTAACCGAGGGGAAAATTTGCTAAAGCTAGCAAGAAAAGTGCTTTGTGTTTGCTGTTTCAGCGTTGGGCACCTCGGAGAAGTCCTGCGACAAAGAGTTCATCATCCGCAGAGCCGCCACCAACCGAGTTCTTAATGTGCTGCGACATTGGGTCTCCAAACACTCTCAGGTCAGCCCAACAGCTCTTTAAAAAAATATTCTTTTTTTTTGGTGATATTTTTATTATTGTCATTATTTTGGAAGGACATGTAAAATTCCAAAATGTTGTTATATTACAACCTTATTCCGTTCATTTTACACCCGACATTGCACATTTTGCAGATTTATTCAAATTTAAAAAACAAATTAAAATTCACATGTTCAGATACATACAGTCCAATGCTTCCAGGAAATACTTAGTGTTTTTAAATGAGTAAATAAAGTAAATAAAACCCTCGAGTGAGAATAAAGCAGCAACAACCTTGAAGTGAGCTGGCGCGTTTTCGCTTGCGCTTGTCAGGACTTTGAGAGCAACAGCGAACTGAAGGTGGGCGTGGTCAGCCTCCTGGAGGAAGTCCTGCGGGATCCGGACCTTCTGCCTCAGGAGAGGAAAGCCACCAGCAATATTCTCAGGTTACCCCGCCACGTGTGCATACAAACTTGGCTCGACTCGAAATTTAACCGGCGCCACTTTGTCGTCATCAGCGCTCTTTGTCAAGAAGAGCAAGACAACCCTCAGCTCAAGATTGAAGACATTCTGCAAATGGTACGCCATTTTCATCCGAAATAACATACATAAACAGTTTTTGACCAAATGATCATGAAAATGATCTTTTTAAATTATTATTTTTTTGATGAACAGAAAAGTTGTCCACTTCTTCACTTCATTGTGGTAAGAAAGAATCTTCATGTTCACTTATAGACGTTAAAATAGTCATCACTATTTTGTGTGTGTGCGTGTGCGTGTGTGTGTATAGGCGGAGGGACCTAAGGCAGAGTGTTTAGAGTCCTTGTCTGCGATGGAGCTGGCCGAGCAGATCACGCTACTGGACCACATCGTTTTCAGGAGCATTCCTTATGAGTCAGTCCAACATTTTCTCTTAGTATTTAAAAAAAAAAAACATTTTAGGGGATGAATGAAAATAATTTGACTCATGGGTCTGCTGTAAGGATGTAGCTCATAATATTCCCTGAATATAACTTCATTTTTGATTACATTTGTTTGAGAGTTATATTCGAATTATTATTTTTATTTATTTTTTTACTTTTCTAAGATTATTATTATTTTTTTAATACTGTCTTAATATCAGGCAGCACGGTGGGCGACTGGTTAGCATGTTGGCCTCACAGTGGAGAGGCGCAGGGTTCGATTGCGGCTTGGGCCTTAATTGTGTGGAGTTTGCATGTTCTCCCCGGGGCTGCGTGGGTTTTCTGTGGGTACTCTGGTTTCCTCCCACATTCCAAAAACATGCATGGCAGGTTAATGGAACACTCCAAATTGTCCCTTGGAGTGACTGTGAGCGCGGATGGTTGTTTGTTTATGTGTGCCCTGCGATTGGCTGGCAACCGGTTCAGGGTATCCGCCGCGTCCTGCTCCAGCACCCCCCATGACCCTTGTGACGATAAAGTGGATCAGAAAATGGATGGATGGTCTTAATATCACCAACAGTCATAATATCATAGGAATAAAATTGTATTTTGGGCCCCAAAAAGTATGACTTGGGGGGTAAAAATAAATTTTTTATACAAAGAAAACAAAAATTTTTTTTTTTTTTTTTACAAAGCCAAAAATATCATCACAACAAAAACAATATAAATATGAAAATATTTTATTTTCCTTGTTTTAGTCAAGAAAAAAAAAAGTCAAAATTGATTGATTGATGTTGTTTCAGGGAGTTCCTTGGCCAAGGCTGGATGAAGGTGGACAAGACGGAGAAGACTCCTTATATCATGAAAACCAGCCAGCACTTTAACAATGTGAGTTGACCTTCAGCTGCGATCCAGGATTGGCTGCGTTTCGGAAACAGCGAAGCAAACCACACCCCGCTGATGACATCACCATTGAAAAATCAAATGCCATGTTTTGTTGTCACGGCGATCAGATGAGCAACCTGGTGGCGTCGCAGATCATGACGCATGGCGACGTAGCCTCCCGGGCGGGTGCCATCGAGAAGTGGTTGGCGGTGGCGGACATCTGCCGCTGCCTCAACAACTACAACGGCGTCCTGGAGATCACCTCGGCGCTCAACCGCAGCGCCGTCTTCCGCCTCAAGAAGACGTGGGCCAAAGTCTGCAAGCAGGTACTTCCGCCAACATGGTCAGAATATTAGGAACCGTTCTCAGCGCGATTGTCAATACGTACTGGAGGATGTACATTAGCGTGTGTCACAGCCGCGCTGGGCAAATGGGCAAAAATTCATTCAGCGGCGTAAAATTGCTGCCTCAAATATATTCATACATTATTTTTGCATGAATTTTCTATCCATTTATAAAAAGTCATAACATACTGCACTTTCCAGAGATGTATTTTGGCATTTTTCTGAGCTAATTGGTTGACTTTTTTTTTTTTTGTGTTCACTTATAACATTTGAAAATCGTCATTACTTTTCTTGAAAAATCTGTTCTGCTCAAAATTGATTGATTAAAACAAATGTATTTTGCATTTTTTCATAAAACGTTTTTTTTGGTATGGGGTCTCAAAAAATGTTTTTAGTTATATTTTTCAAGAGTACAGTTGTCAATGTTTGACAAAAAAAGTCTTAAGAATTAAAGCACTTTTCGAGAAACTTTCGTATTTTACTCAAGGGAAAAAAAAAGTCCTATTTTTCTGACAGCCATAATATTACCGACATTAAAAGTGAACTTTGGAAGCGAAGTGCTGAATTGTTCAACAAAAAAAAAGTTTTTAGATTAAAAAATAAATAAATAAATCAGAATTTGGAAAGTCATAGAAGAGGGGAAAAAAGTAATTGAATCATTGCTTAAATTATTGTTAAAATGACAATAAAATGTACCCAAAAAATTATATTTACATTTGTGAGCAATTGATGAAAAAAAAAAATTAATAAAGTGTGTGTGTGTGTGTGTGCGTGCGTGCGTGCGTGCGTGCGTGTGTGCGTGCGTGCGTGTTGCAGACAAAGGCGCTGATGGATCGTCTGCAGAGGACGGTCTCGTCTGAAGGACGCTTCAAGAACCTCCGAGAAACGCTGAAAAAGTAAACATCGCCTCATTGCCGTGTCGCTCCACAAGTGCATGTGTCACGTGTGTGTATGTGTTTGCAGCTGTAACCCGCCGTGCGTGCCCTACCTTGGCATGTACCTTACCGACCTGGCTTTCATCGAGGAGGGGACGCCCAACTTCACCGAGGAAGGCCTGGTTAACTTCTCCAAGATGAGGATGGTAAATATCACCATACGGCCATTCTGACTCCAAAGACTTGAGGTCTCGTGAGGTGCTCTTTGTCTCCCCGTCAGATCTGTCACATCATCCGAGAGATCCGGCAGTTCCAGCAAGCTCCTTACAGGATTGAGCACCAGGCCAAGGTTGGCTGGGCGTGTTTCTTTGAGTTCCTCTGATTGACAGCCATCTGTTTGATTGACAGCCATTTTGTGGTGCCCCCCCCCCCTCCGCCCACTGCAGGTGACTCACTTCCTGCTGGACAAGACGCAAGTGATGGATGAAGATGCGCTGTACGAGCTTTCGCTGAAGATTGAGCCGCGCTTACCGCCGAGCTAAGCTAACACTAAGCGGCTCGCCTCCGACCGTTTCCTATGCTAGCTTGTTAGCACAAGCAGAAGACAGGCTAATCCCCGCTAATTTGGATCAGGTGAGGCTTTCGTGTCCTGTTGCTTAGCAACCAGTGCCTCTGATTTCCTTCCATCAATGCAAAAAAAAATAAATGGTTCGGATCGTGTATGAACGGACCGATCCAGTTCTACTGGTTAACATGGTGACATCAGTTCAGGTGTGGGATGTCTTTAGCCGTTCAGGCTCGCTGGCTAGCATGTTAGCGTGAGTGTCACACTGTAAGGATCTACTGGATCACAGTGTAACATCAATTTCTGGATGCAGCGGATCCGCTGGATCGTGTTCTGACATTACTTTCTGCACGGAGTGTATTCTTAATCCATGTCACTTCCTGTTTTCCGTGAATCCATTGGATCAGTCTTGAATCCAGTTCAGAGCACTGTGAAACTTTCCATAAGGTTTGGGTCCACTAAAGTTCACTGTGACCTCACGTTTTGTATCCAGTGGATCCACTTTACCATACTGTGATGTCACTTCCTGTATGAAGTGGCTCTCGATATATGACAATGTGACGTCACTTCGTGACGTGAAATCTCTTCCTGTACGGGAGTGGATCCACGGGATCATATTTTGAAATCACTTTCCTGAAAAGTGGAAGCACTAGATCACACTGTGACATCACTTCCTGTACGTCGATGCAACACGCTTATTTCAAGTGTGTGTTTTGTTCGCGGCAAGTTCGTTAGCTGCTCTTTTGTATACAAACCTTTGAACAATGGACAAGTTTGCTCTTTTTTTAAAAAAGAGAATTGACCTAAAAATGTTTTTTTTTTGTTTTTTTTTTTACATAAAAAAACAATCAGACATGATGTTCCAACAGTATTATTATTTATTATTAGTCATATTTGAAAGTTAGCTCTGTGTTATATTTAGTTTTCTCTTCTGGGGTGTCTTTGTTGAGATTAACACCTTTGCACTATGTTGTCATTTGATCTCCCTGTGGTTTGACTGTGAGAAATTATTTCTTGTTGATACTTATGGTATTTATTTAGGTTTTTATTTCTTATTAGCGCCTCATATGTTTTTGGACTGTTTTTTTTTGTTTTGTTTTGTTTTCCATTCAAACTGCGCCAATAAAAGTCCTGGTAAATGTGTGACGTGCGCACATGTGTGAAAGTCAAACAGATCTCATGACTTATGACAGCCTGTCCACTTCTGATCGGCCCTCACGTGGTTTAAATGGGGCGGGGCCTAGTACGAGGGGAGCGTGTAAAGCTCATTAAGAGAAGACGGTCGGCTTCGAGGCACAGCAGCTTCTGCACAGGTAATGGATCTCCTTTTACTCTTATTTCACCAATATTACTTTTCACTTTCTAGTGTCGTCTACTCTTATTTGTTGAGATTAATTTTGTCTTTTGTTATGTTTGTTATTATAGTTTGATGTCATGCAAGGCTTGATTAATTTCATGCCAATTTCAGAGTTTTTTTTTTTTCTCAATTGATTTGCAAATCTTGCTTAGTCAGGAAACTGTGAAAGAGTTTTTCTTGGCTTCTACTTGGATGTACTGGAGGTAAAAGTTCACCAGCCAAGAAGGGCTTTAATGAGGGGGAGGTGTTAAGACCATTAAGTCGACTTGGTAATCAAAGTCAAACCCATTTTTCTTCCTAGTTTGCCTTTTTGTGACCGTCTTGACTTTTTGTTATCCAACATCCATCATCCTTGGAAAGTCGCTCATCGGGGTCTGGTGTAGTGCCCCCCACCGGTCTTGTAACTAAAATATCAGTGACCTGTGTGACCCACGTCCATTCTTTTCTTGGGATCCCGGTGGCACAATGGTCCTGTGATCTGCTAAAAATATGACGGATAAATATAGATGTGGAGATGACGCTGGCGTATTTAGCGCTGCATAGGGAAACGACCTTCTCCAGGTGGCTAAGCTAGCTAGCAACAGACTGCCATAAGATGCTAACCGGCATTTACCACATCTTTCACTAAGCTTGTTAGAAGACAGACGCAAATCTGGTTTGTACGCTCCTACTGCTAAAGTACCACCCGATGACCTTCTCCTCACAAGAAGATTTTCACAGACGCGTCCGGTTATATTTGGCGTCATGGATTTTGGTAGACGTGTCTATCACGAGTAGATCCACCAAAACAGACTATGCCTGAAAGACACAGAAAGTCTGCAATTTTGATGTGACCAGGGGTTTTTATTTTGGGATTAAATTTAGCCCCCAAAGCCAGTTGGAATTAACAATCAGAAATTTGGTAGACATATATCATGGGAAGACCCACAAAAGTCTCAAAAAGCAATGATGAAAAAAGGCAGACAGGATGTGTGCAAGTTTATTTGAATCCTTCAAAGAAAAACACTTCCTCAAGATCACGACCGAATTTAAAGGATGTTTACGATACAGAAAATAGTAACTGAAGCCTCTTAATTTATTTAAAAAAAAAAATTAATTCCATTTATTTCTTCCTCCAGCTCCTCCACGTGTGACTGAAAGCTCAGGTAAAGATGGCGAACTCCTTCGCGCGCCTGATGTTGGGCCGCAACACTGCCGCCCTGCTGGCCACCATGGGGGTGGGCACCATGTCCGCCGGTTTTCTGTTGAGCGACGGGAGTTCTTTGGCGGCGGAGGCAAGGAAGAAGCTCTATCCTGCCAGGTGACCACCGCCGATAACAATACTACTACTACTACTAAGCATCACTGCGTCACGTTGACATGGTCGGTCGAGTTATCTGGGATTACCATTGTCATATGTTGGACATGGTTGGTAGTGCAAGTCAGTTGGAACAACATATTGCGTCTAGATGGTTGTTCGTAAAAATGCATCACATGGTCCGCAGAGTTAAGTGAAAGCAACCACGTCACGTAAACTACTTCATGAATTGAATTCGTCGTGTGTGCGAGTCTGAATGATGTCGTCATGTCATTAGTGTGAAAGTCACCGCATGGCACCAACTCAAAGTGACCTTCTCAAATGTCTTCGACACTTGTGACCGGCTTAACAAACTTTACGCCCCCGCCCCCCCCAACACCCCCACTTGCGATCACCTCTCCACCTCGCAGCTCCGACTTCCCCGACCTTCGCAAGCACAACAACTGCATGGCCACGGCGCTGACACCGGCCATTTACGCCAAACTGCGGGACAAGGTCACATCCAACAATTGGACTTTGGACCAGTGCATCCAGACGGGCGTGGACAACCCCGGGCATCCTTTCATCAAGACCGTGGGCTGCGTGGCTGGCGACGAGGAGAGCTATGAGGTCAGAAGAGGGTAGTTGTGGTTTTTTTTTTTAAGACAGAAATTATACAGTCACTTGTTGCTTGGCAGAATTCATGGGACACAACTATGGGGGCCAACAATTTTATTTTAAACAAAGTAAATAACTAATCTACTTGCCATAGTTCATTTAAAATGTTTGTTGATGGACAGATCTTAAGGAGCACAACCGTTTGTACCTCAAAGTTCAATTTTAAGACCTTTTTTTTTTCTTCCTGAGTTACTTGTTGCAAGAGAGAGTTCACATGGTACAACCATCGGTGTCCGTTTTTTAGTTCCAAAAGCATTTCTGTCATCACTTGCTTGTTGCTAGGCAGAATTAATGGTGTACAGCCATTGGTGCTCCAAAGTTGACCAAAAAAAAAAAAAAGATTATTTCCATAGTTACTTGTTGCTAGGCAGAATTAGACAGCGAGCTATGAGGCGTAAACACTGTAGTACCTGCTATTGTTGGACTTGGTTGTTTGCTTCTAGGTATTTGCGGATCTCTTTGACCCGGTCATCAAGGACCGCCACAATGGATACGACCCCAAAACCATGACCCACCCCACGGATCTGGACGCCTCCAAGGTGCTCACGTGCCACTCCGCTGCCATATTGCCGCCAACCATTTCCTCCTCAAAAACGACACTGTGTCCTCGTCTTTTTTTTTTTGCGCGTGGCCGTCACGGCGCTGGGTGGCCTCAAGGGAGACCTGGCAGGGCGCTACTACAGCCTGGCAGAGATGACCGAGAGTGAGCAGCAGCAGCTCATCGATGTAAGACCGCATCATCCGCGCAGTTCATGGGGCACAATTATTGGTGCCCCAAAGTCTGATTAAAGTCTCACATTTCCTTAGTCACTTGTCATCATGCAGAATTCTTGGGGTGCAGTCATTAGTGCACCAAAGTTGTAGTTAAAATAAATGAAGAAGGAAAAAAAAAACAACAACTGTGCAGTCACTAGTCGCTAGGCAGAATTTGTGGACCACAACCAAGGGTGCCCCAGTATCAAAATAAATAAATTGAATGAAAGAAAAGAATTCATTCGGCACAATCTTTAGCACCCTAGAGTTGTGTTACAAAATTGCCCCATTTTTGCAGTCACATGTTGCTAGGCAGAATACACAGGGCACGGTTATCTGATCAGATCTTTGTGTTCTGATCCAATCCCACCGCACTCCTATCAGGACCACTTCCTGTTTGACAAGCCCGTGTCTCCTTTACTTACCTCGGCTTTCATGGCCCGTGACTGGCCTGACGCCAGGGGCATCTGGTAAGAAAGGTTCCAGAAAAAAGAAAAAATCTCACATGAGAGTTTTAGGATTTAGATATGTGCAGCGTTGGCACCCACGACTGGACTGCCCCCGTGTCTTCATCCCTCTCCCCAGTTCTCCTGCTTTTGTCCATTTGAGTGTTTTCTTCTTCCACCTTGATATAAACCTGTAGGACCACTTCCTGTTTGACAAGCCCGTGTCTCCCCTGCTGACATGCGCCTTCATGGCGCGAGACTGGCCTGACGCCAGGGGCATCTGGTAGGCCCCGCATGTGTGCTGTGTGCTGCATCCCCATCCACCTGCCACAGTCCCCGTTTGCCTTCCGTGCCTCCATTGGCCGGCCGGATGTAGCAAGTGTTGAGCCCCCTCGCTGTTCCTCCTCAGGCACAACAACGAGAAGACCTTCCTGATCTGGATTAACGAAGAGGACCACACCAGAGTCATCTCCATGGAGAAGGGGGGCAACATGAAGAGGGTCTTTGAGAGATTCTGCAGAGGACTTAAGCAGGTACATGGCTTTACACACGCGTATTCTCCTGGAAATGTTGCCAGGCAAGGATCCACACGTTAGAAAGTTCTGAGTCCATTTTTAGGGGGGCAACATGAAGAGGGTCTTTGAGAGATTCTGTCGAGGACTTAAGCAGGTACACGGCTTTACAAACGCGTATTCTCCTGGAAATGTTGCCAGGCAGGATCCACACGTTAGAAAATTCTGAGTCCATTTTTTAAAAAATCCGGTTTCTGTACTCAGCTGTTGCTTGGCAGGATTACTGAGTAGCAATTGGAGGTTGAAAGCCAGCATCTGCATCATCCACAGGTGGAACATCTGATCCAGGAGAGGGGCTGGGAGTTCATGTGGAACGAACATCTGGGCTACATTCTCACTTGTCCCTCCAACCTGGGCACGGGGCTCAGGGCGGGCGTGCACGTGCGCCTTCCCAAACTCAGCAAGGTAACACACTCGCACATGCATACGCACACACAATAGAAAGAATGGAAAAAAATTCTGCACCATGATTTTATGCTTTAATTAAATGGGCCTCCTTGTGGTGTGCTCGTCTTGACCACTAGGAGGCAATATAATACACACTTAAGAACAGACAACTAAGCTACAGTAATAGTGAAGTATTATTATCCATCCATCCATTATCCACCGTCGTGGTCTGTCCACTGAATTGTCAGTCTATGTGTTGCTGCGCCATTTGTAGTCAAACGTCAATGCTGGTTTCACTACCCCTTCTGTGGCGTTTTGTATTGTGCGCAGTAAGCTTGCAAATACACAACACGCATTCGGTACAGAGGGCTTTTCATTGGACATTTTGGGGGATTGTCTCGGTCCTGTGTAAGTGAGCAATGGTCCGTCCCATAGGATCCCCGCTTCTCCAAGATCTTGGACAACTTGCGTCTGCAGAAAAGGGGTACGGGTGGCGTGGACACGGCGGCCACAGGCGACACCTTTGACATCTCCAACAATGATCGTCTGGGCAAGTCAGAGGTAAGCTTTCATTTCTTGACAGGGGGGTGTGGAAGCCACCACGTATGCCGTTAGCTATTTTATTTTTTCCATTCCCTATCTATTAAAATAAATGATTTATTGTAAAAGGTACAATTTCAGAAAAATCTAACACATATGCAGATTTTTTTTAAATCAAATAATTGATGAATTCCAAATAAAGTATAAGTAATACTTTTATTACTTATTAATTTTATTAAATTAAAAAAATATATACTTCATCCAATAATTTATTGTCATCTAAATTATTTTAAATGTACTACTAAAATCATTTGTAAAAACTTCATATACATAGACCATTTCAATATTTTTTTTAAATCAGATTTGAATTGCCATTTTTACATAGATCTGTATTTTGTATGTTAATTCGTTCAAGATTTTGAACCTCCTCTCGCTAGCATACTGACCCATTTTGGACCTGTCCCATTGAAACGCAACGTGTCTTGTGTATGACCTGCGCGTAGGTGGAGCTGGTGCAGGTGGTGGTGGACGGCGTCAACTACCTGATCGAGTGCGAAAAGAGGCTGGAGAAGGGCCAAGACATCAAGGTCCCGCCTCCCATCGCCATGTTTCGCAAATAGAGGATACATGCAAGCGCAACCCACACATCAGTAAAAGCTCTAGATTATGCTTGGGACTTCCTCTTGCCTCTTTTCACTTTCTGCACCATATGCATAGACACGTCACACGATCGCAAAAGATTACATCTATTCCTGGGAATGTCTGCTTGTGGACCTCAAATCGATATAAATCAATCTCCCGGATGCCATGTTATTAACCTGTCACTTGTTGCCAGGCAGATTTATGGCAGTCATCCGTGCCACAAAGTCAAACTTGGGGCGCACCATTGAAGTCCGTTTTAAACACATGTTGCTCAGAAAAATTCATTGGAGCACAATCCTTGGTGTCCCAAAATAAAGATTTAGCAAGCACTTGTTGCTAGGCAGAATTATTCACCCCCTTGCCAAAAGCCACCTTTAAAAAAAAAAAAACAAAACTTGTGCAATCACTTGTTGCTGGGTAGGATTCATGCTGCCCTAAAATCCAGTCACTTGCTAGAGAAAATTTAAGGGGCATAATCATTGGTGCCCTAATCTCCAATTGAAAAAGTTGCTCATTTGAGCTGTCACTTGCTTGCTGCTTGACACAATTCGAGTTTGTTGGTGTTGGGTACCCCCTTGTACAATTAAATCACCCATTTGTGCACTGGGTGGGGTGGGTCATTCCAACTCAAATCACATTTAGGCAGTTACATATTTATTTCTTACTTGGGAAAAATGTGTACGGAACTATTTAATAGTGCCGAAAAGTCCAATTAAATCACACTATTGCGCAGTCACGAGTTGCTTGTTAGAATTAGTCGGACACAATCATTGATGCTAAAATAAAAGAAGTCTCACATATGTATCATCACTTGTTACTTGGCATAATTCAGAGAAACAGAATTAACAGGTTACGTACATATGAAGAAAGCATTTGACACATTTTGTCAAAAACATCTTTCAGGACATCATTCTGGACACACCACAGCCCGACTACTTGCTCAAAAAAATCGAGTTTTGGCAGAAAAGGAGATAAGAGGGGGAAAAGGCTCCTGTGGCGGTCCGGCCGGTCAGTCGTCGGGTCGGGTCTCGCCGTGTCTCCTGGTGAACTCCTCGGCGTTTCTCATGAACTGCGCTCGGTCTTCCGTATACTCGTTGGCCAGCTCGGCCCGCAGAGGGCGCTCGGGCTGGGGCATGTTCACCAGCGAGATCAGACACTGGATGACTGCGCACAAACACATTCATGGTAACTGCGCCACCTAGTGGACCGGCGTGGAGGTGTTGAGTACAGTGGAACCTTGCCTTGTTTTGCAGTTTCTCAAACCATCGATTGAGTTGCTTTTTCAGTCATTCAACAGAGCTGCGCGCGTATCAGCAGCGATTCAAATCGGGATTGGAGTGAAAAAGCAATCGGTGAATCTGAATTTTCGGACAGAACAAAATTTCTCTGTACGGAATTTTAGAATATTATACCACTTTAGACTCCTGTGAAAGAGCTGAAATTGTTACCAGGCCACATTTACTTCCAAAATTAAAAATAATTTAGCCCGAGTTAAATCAAGGTTCCACTGTACGAGGACTGTATGGCCTTGGTTGACTTTGAAGTCTCTTTCGTGAAGTCAGTGTTGACATTGAGCTGACCTTGGGACGTTCTGGTGGCGGGCTTCCAGTTCTCTAAGCTGATTATGGCCAGGCACACGTGACCCTTCTCATCCACGTTGGGATGGTAGATTTTTGTCATGAAAGTGATCCGGGGGGGCTTGAAGGGGTACTCGGTCGGGAAGTTAATCTCCACCCGAAACGCTCCTTTGTCGTACGGGGGGCTTTCCTTGCCAGCAACACAAACAAAAACAATCACAAGTAGGAGGGGGAGGTTGAAACAAGTACTTTTGAGTGAAGTAGACTTACAGGCACAATGAGACCTTGCCAGATTAAAATGTTGGATTCGTCCACTTCGATGTTGCGGAATTCTCGGAATCCTGATTTGCGGATTTCCTCCAGCTCCTAAAAAGTGTGTTTGCAAAAAGCGTTAGATGTTCAAATGAAACTGGAACCTTGAATCTTGTGTCAGGCTTCGTGAATCACTGGTTCAAAATAGTGCTTTGGCGCTTGTATAATTCTACTCTTGTGAGTGAAGACATTCGAAGCGCCATACGTTACCGTGCATTTTGATGGCTGGACACGGTTTGGTGTCTGTCTTTGGATTGACAGGTTGCTTTGGCGCTAACTTGTGCAATAACCACCCAACTATTGTACAAGCTGCGGTTTTTGTGCATTATTAACAGTGACCAGTGAAAATCTACGTTCAAAAGTCAGGGATTGTTTCGATCGATAAATGATGTCAGTGGTATGTAAACGCATATTTTAAAGGGAGAAAAAAATAGGGAAAGAGAAGAGGAGCTGCCGACCTTTCTATTATGGAGAAATTATGATTAACAACCTGTGTACTTTTTTTCCATACAACGTACTAAAGATGCACAAATATCCAACATATTTATGAATGAAACAAGCTTTTTTTTAATAGCCGACCTGTTCGATCATTAACCCAAAACTTTTTTTTTTGTGACAAAGGTTGCTTGAGTTCGTTCGTCCACTAGATGTCACTAATGTTGCTTCCATTCGAATGTGTGTTGACACAATTGGAAGAAAAGCCTCATTTAAAGAGGGCAGTAATCAAAAAATGTATTTGATTGTATCAATCTGCATGGCATCTTGAGGTCGCTTTGTTATGCACAGTAAGCAGCGTTACATACAAGCAGGAAGAAGTTACATCGTAGGCTACATTCAGTGATTGAAAATATATAAAATTGTTGCCATGATCATAGCACTTGAATGCTGTGTTCGCTTGCATACAATAACGTACGAATTTAATTACACGTATATAATGTATGTGTGCTTTTTAATGTACCTTGCATAATCTCCTTGTGGAAGTCATACTAACACAACGGCTTAGATTGTCCGTCTTCTGCTCGTCGCCGTCTTGCTGAATGGCCACCACCCGCTGGCCGCACAGTGTGACGTGTGAATAACAAACACAAAACACAAGGAGCTCAGTGGGCTTGTCCAAAAGCAAACACGTCAAATTTGGCGCAGTATATTTTATGTATTACGTTTTTTTTCAAAGTCATACAAGCATGTTGCCGTTCAGCTTTGAAGAAATTGCCCACATTGCTTACGTAATGCGATGTTAGAAAATGGAAGTGGCATCTCCTCTGTGTTGGAAATTAATTGGATATCATCCACGTGAAATTATATTATAGAAGATAATGTAATTTAAAAACAATTCCGATATCGCCGTTCAGACTTTAGCATCGATGTCAGATCTCATCGATCGGTTTGTAATTCGTAGACTTCTCCGTGTCTGAAAGCCCTTTAACGACCTTTTAGCTTGCGCAACCCAACACGTTCAATGTTTGACTCACAGTTGACAAATTGTTTGCTTCGGTCGCGGTCTTGTCGACTTGAAGAGGCTCGAAAGAGGCGAGTTGAGTCTGAACGCATCATTCTGTCCGCTGATCAACAGTTTTATGTGTCCAAGATGGCCGCCCGAGCGGAAACTTCGGACTTGTAGCATCAAATCAAACTCGCGGAGAAAAAAAAACAACTCCTTCTCCTCGGTCTACTTCAACGCTCCCGTGGCGAGACGAGCCGAAGATGACGTTTGTCACCAGCAAGACCGCCGAGTACGACGCCAGCAGAGCAATGGCAAACCCCAACAGGTAAAAGACGAACCGAGCCAGGCCCGGAAGCTAACCTGCTAGCCACATTTAGCACACAACGAGAAGCAAAGGGAATAATGTTGACTCGTTCACGTTGAAGAAAACAACACCCTGAGCCACTGAAGGCCGTAGCGTGTTATAGTGGACTCGTTCCGAAGGTTTTCGGGCACAAAAGTTGGACTCGCTAACTTGTGTCTTAGCACCTCTGCTAACTTAAGACATAAACAAATCGTGCCAGATGTCACAACTGCGACTTTACGTTGCAGTTCAGTTGACAGCAACCCAATTGTCAATGTAAGGATCAGCCTTGACGTCAGTGAATTTAGATTGAAACGAAACTGTGTGCAAATTCTGACATTTAAAACTCCATCAAAGGATATCGTCGCAAGCAGTAGATCCCATGCAATTAATGTAAGATGCAAATGAAAATGAAATAAATGTATGGAAAGGCTAATAATCTATCCCATCTCCCAACTAAAGCACCAACAAAATAAAATAATAGTGCTCTTCAATTGATTTATAACAGTAGTAGCAGCGATTAGTCGACTAATCACCTCCTATGTTTTTATCGGATTGGAAAAGAGCACAAATTTTCCGATTGTTTTTATGACAAGAAGGATGCAACATATATATTGACATGTAGGATTAGCCCAAATGCCCACGGATGTCAATCGATTTTTTTCCTTGATTTAAAATGAGGAACTGAGGAGAGTTTAGTGTACATTATTTTTGTGTTGACTCTCACAAGCAACACAAATCCATCAGATTTTTTTTTTCCCCTTCAGGCTTTAGGAGGGGGATTGTGAAGCCAGCATGGACAGCTTCTTCAAGGCGGCTGTTTGTGACTTGGACAAAGTGCTGGATGATTTTGAGCTGAATGCAGGTGAGATACTGAAGGAAGTGGAATTTAATTCCCATTACAAGATGAATAACGTCGAGCGGATCTTCATAAATGTCATTTATTATGACGCGTTGATGTGAAGTTTAGACATAATTCACAAACTCTGCATGGGAATTATGGAAGGTGTTTATGTCCTAAAAAAAAAAAAGTAATCAATGCAAAATAATCGCCCTCCTCATGGTCATGGAAGGGCGTTACAGTCATTGTAATTGATCGATTTTTTTCACTCTGGCCAAAATTTGAGTTTGAAATGAGCTTTAGAAGATGCACCACTCTTTGCTTTTCACTGAGAATTGTCTTTTTGGTGGCTTGCAGATGAAGTGGACTGCAAGTCAGTCTTCCGGAAGCCTCCACCGCACAACTTCACCACTCTGGGCTCCTCCGAGGCGTCCGACGTGCCCTCCAACCCGCCTGACCTCAGTTCTCTCCGCTACGACGTCGCCAGCAGCAGCGGCAGCGGGAGCAGCTGTGCAGATCAAGACGGAGAAGCCAAAGTTCAGCCTCTGACCGGCGTGGACCTGCTCTCCTCCGTAGATCACGGCGCTGCTCAAAGCTCGGCGCCTCCCTGCCCCGACCGGGCCCTCAAACCCGTGTGCGACCTGGTCAACGACACCGGCTCGGCGGTCCTGGTCCGAGCCGACAGCCACGATGCCTTCAGTGAACTGGACGCCGCCGAGAAGCAGTTGGAGGAAAACGAATTGGAGGAAAACGAGGAGGAGCAGCTACTTTTGGACTTTAGCAACCTAGCGCTGGGTGATCCAGACGCGCCCAGTCAGAACTCAAACTCGCACCAGCAACTCTCAGAATCCTCTTTGAGTCTTCTGGACATCATTCTTCCTGCATTTCCTGCAGAGGACGTGCAAAATGAAGCGCGAGATGATGACGAGGCCCAAGATGAAGGCTACGAAGAGGAGACTCAGGAAGACGACGCGTCCTTAGAACCGCGTAACCAGGATCACCAGCACCCACCCAAAGCGAGTACTCAAGACTCAAGCGCCTCAGTAGACTTTGTCGAACCGTCAGGGCAAAGTAAAGAGGAGTCTGTGAAAGATTCTGACGCTGAAGCTTCTGCGGGCAGCCCTCAGCTCCTGGAGCCTGAAGAGCAACATGAAGATGAGGAAACGGAGGCAGACTCTCTGTCAGCTTTGGACAATTCTTACCCTGAGGAACCCCTCGACTCCGTATCACAGCAGCATTGCCTTTTAGAACCTCTTGCCCTCGTCCCTCCCGCGGAACCTCTGCACTCGGAGCCCAGCCCGGTGGATCCTCTGGAGTTTGGCTTCGAGTATCTCCCCGAGAGCGACCAGGGCGAGCTGCTGGTCACGGATGAAGAGCTGGACGCTTTCCTGCAGGCCCACGCAGAGGCGGAGCAGGCCGGCGGCATCGCCTGCTGCAGCAGCTCGTCTGAAGCCCTCCAGTCGGAAAACGTGGTCTCGCCGAACAGAGATCCGGAGCAGGTGCTTGCGGACGAGGAGCTGAGGAGCTCCAGAGAAGATCTCGAAGGCCTCGCCTCTCCGGAAAGTGACAGAAGCCTGCATGCGTCATCTCTGGCTCAGGACTCGCCATGTCAGGAAGATTCCTCTAGAGGGAGCCATTCCTCCACCAGCAACTCTTTACAGTCCGAGCAGCAGGTATCCTACGGAGGGGCGAGACCCAAGCAGCTGCTTTCCCCCACTGCCAAAAATCTCCAATCAGCAGAGGAGGATGACGAGTTGCCCACTTGTTCATCGAAACTGGAGGACGACGACGAGAGTCCACACGCAAGCCTCTCCTTCCTCCCGCATTCCATCAGCAGCCCGGTCTACGCGGCTCCGGAGCCCCCGGAATACACGGCGGGTTACGACGAACTCTCCGAGCCGCCGCCCTACCCCGGCGAACCTTCCGCCGCGGAGGGTTGCTCTCGTCCCAACAGCTGGAAGAAGGACGGCGCCGAGGAGGAGCTGGGAAGCTGGCAGCCCGCTTGGGTGCCCGACTCGGAAGCCCCCAACTGCATGAACTGCTCGCACAAGTTCACCTTCACCAAGAGGCGCCATCACTGTCGCGCATGCGGCAAAGTACGTACGCCGAAACTCGGGCCGGTAATCCGGTTTGCTCAAACTGCAATCGTCCTTTGGGGTACATTTCGACATAATTCCTGTGATAAATGAGGCACTATTGTAGTCCTTTGCGCCTGTTGCCCCTCTCTTTGCTGTGCAGAAATGGGAGACTGCTTCTCTGCTGCTTCCCCTTCCAGTCAAGCGCACTGCTACCTAGCGTGTTGTAGTAGTACAACATGGTACTATACTGAGGCCGCGCAACTTTAATTCGGGACTTGCCCACGTATTGTAAAAATCACTAAAAACGGTCACCTTCAACAAATCGGACACTTACTCCACCACAAACATGCCCAACGCAGTCCGATGGCCTGCATCACAAGGCTTCGTGAAGTGCGTCGCCGTTATTTACAAACACAACAGAAGCAGGTTTTTGTTTTGGCACGAAAACATCCCTCCGTCTTTTTTCTAATGGAATCGAACCCCGCACCCCTGCACTGTGAGGCGGACGTATTAAGCAGTCGTGTGTACGTTCAAGTGTCTTGTAAAAAAAAAAAAAAGATCGGATCAAACAAAGGCATCCCCGCCCCTCCTTTCCGCTGTTGTTTTGAAACGAGAGCTTATCTTAGCATCCGCCGTTAAACATAGACCAGAGGATTGATCGCGGCAGAGAGCATGAGGAAGCACTTCTCCCGCTTCTTTTTTCCGCTGAGCTCCACTTAAGTCCCGATTAAAGAGCATTAAGAGGACCGTTTGGGATGCGCCATTGTTCCTGACACACTTTTGCCACTCATCGTCTTTGGTGTGTTGCCTCGCTTGTGTTGACAGGTGTACTGCGCGGCGTGCTGCAACAGGAAGTGCAAGCTCAAGTACTTGGAGAAGGAGGCGCGCGTGTGTGTGGTCTGCTTCGACACCTTGCGAAGAGGTAAGCAAAGTCAAACTTCGGAAGCCCCGCTGGAGATGGTGGGACACATTGGGTCTATTTCTGCGGATATCTCCGTCTTTTCCACGTCGTCATAGTTTAAACCCGTGATTTTCGACGGGTGGTCGTAAACAGGTTGTGTGCTTTTGGCGGGTATGTCAAACCGATTTGAAACCGTGTTGAAAATTGTAATTTACTCTATATGGAGTTTCAGAGGGTGTATTGCACCATGACACAATTGTTGCTAGACTGCTTCATCGTATAAACGAAACATAAATCTGAAGCCTGACGAGCACAGTGGGACACCTCAGGATACCGTCTTAGGTCCACCTATGTGATTTATTAAGAAAGGAAAACATGAATTGTTCAGATATAAAAGTGAGCCGCGACTTTGCAACAATAGGAAGATGTGAGTTCCAGGGTGACAACAGTTGCGAGCCGCTTGTTTAGACGATAGACTTATAGGGGCGGGGAGCAGTTGCAAGGGTTGGCACATAGGGCATATTTTCCGCATTTTTGGACTGAAGTTATTTTTAAAAGTGGAATGCTGTCATTGTGGCGTCACCGCGCTTCGTATTCTGCAGCGTATTAATATTGAAGAGCACTCGCGCCCACGGCGAGTCTCTCTGAGGCTGCTCGCAAGCCAGAAAAGTCCGCTCGACAGAACCATTGACTCTGCCTGCTCTCAAAAGCAGATTTCACCTTTTCGTCCCCTCCACTGCAGTGTGAACGTGCGGAGAGGCGAGGGGACGAAACGGGTGTCAAGTTGGGGGGGTGGGGTGGGTGCGCGAGTGTGTGTGTATGAGTGTGTGTGTGTGTGTCTACTATTTGTTTGGAAAAGTGTCCCTAATTGCGAGGCACGTTGTCACGAGGTTCGACTGTATTTATGTGTCCACTTTTGTCGTGTGTGTGTGTGTGTGTGTGTGTGTGTGTGTGTGTGTGTGTGTGTGTGTGAGTGTGTGTCCCCACTATGAGTGTT